AAGGTCAGCCCCTGTGTCCCAGAAAGAGGCTGGCGGGTGGTGCAGGCCCAGGGAAGCAGAAGAGGTGAGGGTGGGGCCAGGCCCAGAAGCAGTGCTCCTGGCACCCAGAGAAGGCACTACCTTTGTCTGGATGAAAAGGAACGTTAAGCAGTATTGGTTCCCCTGGTGTCTGGGGCCCCAAGACAAGGTATGGGGCAGGACCCAAACTAGGAGGAGAGAACAGTGAGGGAGATTGGAGGGTGATTGAAGCTGGGGGAGTCAAGGCTTGTAGGGCGCGAATGGACTTACCCCGTAGAGAGTCCTGCGGGTAGGAGAGAGCTGGGATCCTTTATTTTGATATATCACAGTGAAAGATTTATCGTCCTCTTTTTTTTTTTTTTTTTTTTTTTAAAAAAAAAAAAAAAAAAAAAAAAAAAAAAAGGCATTGGCTGCAGGGGATGGCGAACAGCCATCTGTAAACTCCAGTTCCAGGGGATCTGATACCCTCTTCTGACTTCCATGGACATTGTATCACATGGGTACACTTACATGCAGGCAGAACACTCATATACATAAAATAAAAATAATTTTTTAAACTGGAGAGATGGCTTAGCAGTTAATAAGCAGCACTTGTTGCTCTTCCAGAGGACCAAGTTCAGTTCCCAGCACCCACATCAGGTGGCTCACATGCACCTGTAGCTTCAGCTCCAGGGGATCTGATGCTCTTTTCAGGCCTCCTTGGACACCTGAGTACATGTGAGACACATATACACACACACTCATGCATGTGCATAAATAAAAATAAAAATATATTAAAAAAATAAAAAAACTGAGCGGGATGTGGTGGTACACGCCTTTAGTCCCAGCACTTGGGAGGCAGAGGCAGGCGGATCTCTGTGCGTTCAAGGCCAGCCTGGTTTCCAAAGTGAGTTCCAGGCCAGCTGGGGCTACAGGAAGACCAGTCTCAAAAAGATCAAAAAAATAAATAAAAAACTTGTTGTAAATGGAGCCAATTAACACTGAACTGCCCCTGGGCTTCCCACCTGATTAGTGGGCTCCCACTAGCGTCCTTGCTTTCCTGGTAAGGAGTTTGTGGCAGTTTGTTTTCTACCACCAGCACGTACTGTGAGTGTAGATTCCACAGATTATGGAATAGGGGCCCACTTCATTTCCTGGATTTGGTCTAGCAGCTAGTTAAAACTGATCAAGGGAGTATCTGCAGTCACGTTAACTACAAGTCTTGAAGTTCTTCTAACAGTTGGCAGGAAAGTGCTGCCTGTCTGCAGCAGTTAGGGTAGAAAGACTGATGAATATTGGGAAAATAATTTTGTAATCCCCCAAAATGAAGCTCCTTTTTCAGAAGGTATGTATTACCAAAGCCCTCTGCTAAACCTGTGGGGTTCTAATGTATGAATTGACTATTTTCATGCTGTCATTTCTAGATGATAGAATTCCTTTATTTAGAAATTATGACATATTTCTCAAGCTAAAATAAAAATTTTAGTGTGGAAATTTTGTTTGCCTTGTGCAGATATTTTGAAAAGCAATTTGAACTGTCAGAACAAACAAAATTACCAATGTTTCTTCATTGTCGAAACTCACACGATGAATTTTTGGGTGAGTTAAAAACAAAATCTCATTAGAATTTTAGAATTGTGTAGCAATCAAACTACTTTATAAATATTGTTTTTAATTCACAGACATAATGAAAAGAAATAGAGATCGGTGTGTGGGTGGAGTGGTAAGTATAAAATTGTTATTTTTTAATGTGATATACAAAAATGTCTTGGTTATTAAATTTGGCCTCTAAAGTACTTCCAATGTCAGCAGGAGAATTCTCTTGAGAACTTGAGTCTCTTCTCAGTAGAAGGACATGTAAATTTACTGTTGGATTTACAGGCTACATAGTGTGCAAACAAATGACACTGCTTTAATCACACTTCTTTGGTTGATGAGTACCAAATTCTCCTCACAGGAAAGAACCATGAAACATTTACACATTCAAACACTGCATCCTTTACTCTTCTGTCAGCCATCTTTTCGTGTTCTTCAATTTAAATTTTGAGGAAATGATGTTTATATTATCTTAAAACATTTCACTGTTTTGTTCATGTTTTCTTTCCTAACTTGCTGTTAGCTGTTTTCACTCTGAGGTTGTTTGTATGCTCCAAAGTGTTTTCTCAGAAGGTCACTTCAGCCACTGCTCTGGAGTAAATACCATCTACCATCCCTTGACTTTGTTACATGTGGCAGTGATTTCTAGTCTTTGGATCATGGGCTTCTTTGATTATCTGCCTTACAAAAATTGCTCACATATATAAAATTTCATATATAATCTCAGGAAAGGGTCAGTGACTATTTCTTGGGAAAAAAAAAGTTGTTATCCAGGTATTTAAATCACAGTTCCTGTGCTAGTCAAAAAAAGGAGGACCCAGCCCAGAGTCCTTAGAGTGTACTCACACTGCCTTCTGTGGACAGTTTCATATATAGTCTTAAAAAAAAAAAAAAACTTTTAAAAAAACTTTATTGAGAATTTCATACATGCATATAAGGTGTTTTGATCAAATCCATGCCCACTCTCTCCCTTCCAACACCTCCTATATCTCCCCATCACTTTTTTCTTTTTCTTTTCTTCTTCTTTCATTTATTTATTTTTTGGGGGTATTTTGGCTACTCTAACATTTTCCCCTTTGAAGAGGTAACCCTAAAATCTTTTAAGGATCAGATACAAGCTCCCAAATACTTTTGATATTTTTGCCCTTTGGAACAGAGTATGTTGCTAAGAGGTCCAAGGACATTGTGCGTTTTAGCCAAGAAACTGGCTACTTTTCTTTGGGGTCTTTTTACCCTAACTGCTTAGCCAGTTCCTACCTCCTATTCTTATCATGCCATCCTCTGAAGGGGTTACCCAAATTGCCAGTAGGGAGTAGGGACACAGACCGCTCTGGCTTCTTCCATGCTGAACAGGGACACAGGGTGAGGCAACTGGAGTACCCCTTCAGTGGGTCTATCTAAAAGATTCCCAAATTGCATAACTCTTATCTCTAAGGGGAAAAGAAAAATCTCTAAATTGTGAATAGGAGATGCGAAGGAGATGTAAAGGCAAGGTAATTAGCATTACAAGTTCTAAACAGGGAACTAGAAAAAAGTGCGAACAGGGCAATTTTCAAATGTTCATATGAGAGTCCACTGGAATTTCCTGATAAGGGCTTCCAAAAGCATCCCTCTATTGGGTTCTTCCTCAGTTTTCTTTTGTCTTCCAAGGCTGGACTCTAGAGTGATGGATTCAGGATTTGCTTTCAGGTATTTTGATAGCTGTTGGAGTGGTTAGAATCAATGTCAGTTCCCTTTCAAAGGCTTCTGAAATGGGAGAGAACAAATTTATCCATCATTTTAGAACAATAGCTGGTTGTCTCCCTTAGCTACAGGTGGGCACTACAGTATTGGAGACCAAGATTTGAAGTCTTACATCTGGGCAGCACTTTCTGATTAGGAACAAAATCATCAATGAGAAATAATTCTCTAAGTAACTTTTTATATAGATTTAAGCCTAATGTCTGGGAAGTGTAATCCAGACATTGGATTGAACTCTTAAAGAAGTATACTGATGACTTTACTCTTTGGTTATACTTTCCTTTTGGGTGTTTAAGACCATACAGTTGGCCCAAATAAATCAATTTATTTTTACACTTAAGGTCATTTGAGGATCTGTTCCTCAGAGGTCACATGGGCTTGGGAGGAACTCCTGGCTCCTTTCTTTTACCAGTTCCATATATGTGAAGATAAATCAAAGATCCTGTTTGACCATGTCTGGCTTCATTTGGAAGCATGAATGTTTCCTCTGAGTTGACCCTCCTCTTTGTAGACTGGTTCAAGTCCATCTCATGAGGTCTCCATGTCCTCCCTGAACAAGAGGATAGGTGACTCACCACAGTACAGGACATTTTGATAGATGTTCCATAGTCTCCTGGAACTTGGTCGACCTTGGAGGACAAGGGGCAAAAACTGTCCTTTAAGTCCCTCTGACCACATTAGTATAGGCCTTAAAGTATGGCTGTTAAAATCCAATAAGATTAGTTCCACCAGTCTCGTACTTTTAATTATCATGTGCTATGTAGATAAGGCTTAGGTAAAGAACCAAATATTCTCAGATAAACATTGACTAGATTTATATTTTGTTCCTTAAACTAGTTGACTAAACTATGATCATAATTTTAAGATTATGTTTATATTATTTCTGTCTCATCGTTTATATATAAAAAACCTACACAGACCTTCATCACTTGCTTAGGCTTTTTCATTTTTTTCTATTTTGGAAAATGTGTCCATTCCTATATCCTTTTAACATCTTTTACATTCTCATTTTCTTAAATAATTATGAGACATAATCATATATAGTCTTTAAAATTTTTTAATATATTTTATTATTCTGTGTGTGTGTATGTACAAGCATACATATTTATGTCATGGTACATGTGGAGGCGACATGGTACATTGCCTCCACATGGCCTCTATGGTACAGAGGACATTTTGCAGAAGTTGAGTCTCCTTCCACCATGTGAGTTCTAGGGCAGCCTTTGTAACCTTCACCCACTGAGCAATCTTGCCAACCCATCTTGCCAACCCATGTTTCACAGCACTAGTGATGTGCATGTATCTGAACTGCTGTTGTGTTAGTGTTACTGTGCACATTTTTCTCTGTACTCTACTGACTCTGTACTCTGTCATTTTCCTTTAGGTGCTTTACTTAGGAACTGGGGCAGGTTTTAATTAATGTCCTGGGCATTGCTGGTAGCTTTATGTAATCTCCAAACATCATCTCTCACTAATTTCCTTTATTTCTAAACAAGACTTTACTCAGATGAGTCTATAATCATTTTTTAAAAATTAATACCAGCAAAAATAAACTCAACCTAAATGTTGGACTTTAATAAAAACATTGCCAAATGAAGCATTAACAACTAGTTCTCTGAGCTAGTTTTATTTTATTGTGTGTATGTGCACGTGTGCACAGGCATGCACAGTTGCTCATGAAGACCAGAGGAGGACATGGGATCCCCTGGAGCTGGAGTTAAGATGGTTGTGAATCCTCTGACATGGGTACTGGGAACCAAACTCTGGTTCTCTGGCAAGAGCAGTGAGTACTCTTAACTGCTGAGCCATCTCTCCAGCCCCACAACTGACATTTTAAAAGCAACATTCTCACTGGGCGTGGTGGCCCACACCTTTAATCCCAGCACTCGGGAGGCAGAAGCAGGTGGATCTCTGTGAGTTCAAGGCCAGCCTGGTCTACATAGTGAATTCCAGGACAGCCGGGGCTACAGGGAGACTGTGTCTCAAAAAGACTGAAAAAAAAAAAAAAAAAGCAACATTCTCATCTCTTTATAGCACTTCTTAAAATTTGCCTCTTAACAATCATTTGTCTTCTATAAAAAAGTATCCTCTTACAGAAAAATTTGATGACATTTTCAGTATCTTTTAAATGGTATTGTAGTGTTTCCAGTCTTCTTCCTCCTGTGAAAGAACATGGCTCTCATGCCTGTGTCCTTCTGGAGGCTCTATAGGGAGGCTCCTGTAGGGATGCCAACACAGCAGCTGCAGAGAAGTCCTGAGGAGCTCACTCCTTACTTCATGACACTGGGGATGAAGATAGGTTGTGATTACCAAGTCTGATTCGAAAGTAAAAATTGTAAGGGTAGGCACAGTAAAGCCCTGTCATCCCAAACCCCTAATACACATTTCTGGTTTTGCTTACAAAGTATATCAATGATATTCTGAATTTTAAAGATAGCAATAATAATAATCTACCTGAATGTCCTTAGGTGCATTCATTTGATGGTACCAAGGAAGCAGCGGCTGCTCTGATTGACTTGGACCTTTATATAGGATTTAATGGCTGGTATGTTCTTGGGCTGTTTTTTGACTAAGTAGACTTATTAAATTGATTAAAATTGGTTTCTATTAAAGTTCGTATGTTTTGCATTGATCCTTGCCTGAGAATTTTAGTAACTATATATGTAAGAAATTAAACAGTACATTGCTATTACAAGTCAAAGCTCCAAAGTTATACACTGTTATGCTTTGTTCTAATAGTAGAAAAAACTTGAGTTGAAGTCAGCAGCTGGCTTGCTCTAGAAATCCAGTTTTCAGGTTATTTTATGCTTTTCATACATGCATGTTCATAGCATTGTGTTATATACATGTTGACCACGAGAAAAGGGTATTAGTCATTTGTCTGTCTCTGTAGGCCAAGAATCTGAGGCTCAGAGAAGTTAACAGGTATAAAGTTACCCCCAGTGTAAGAACCTGCCCTCTGGCTCATTGCTCAATGACCTTTCTGCTGTAACTCCATACTAAACCTCAAACAAATACCCCACAGAGTCAGCCAGTACAGCGAGGTCCTGAGTTTGTTTTCTGTCAGATAGGTCAGAGCTCTTTCCAGTGTCTTTTCATAGGAAGTCAGTGAAGATCGTTAAATTACAGAATAAAATAATACTTGCTCTCCCTCTTCAGTGGTGCACATAAAGTGATCACTTTTCTGATTACATAATGAATAAAATTTTAGAGAAACAAGAATGGTAGCATTGCTTATTTGCTCTACAGTTCAGAGTTTAAGTGGCATAGATGTGTCTTTCATATTTAACAATTTACAAATTGATAGTCAAAAGAATATATATATAATATATATGCTGATTAAAAAGTCAAATCATATTAAAAGACAGAAGCAGTTGTCACAGTTCCTCCCTCCCCCAGCATTCCTTGCCCCAAAGTCAGGTTTTCCAGAGGCAATCCCTTTGCTATCTGTCACTATGTCTCGATAATGTGTATATGGCATTAGCTCTTGATTCCTCCCCTTTGCTTTTATTAAGACACATACCACATGGGCCCTACTTCCATCACTTCCTCTGGATTCCCTTCCAGTGTCATTATTTCAGGACTTTTGCCTTCATGCATGGACAGTTTTCCTCACTGCCCCATGTGGTACAAATGGTTTACATTTCTTTCTTGTGCTACTTTTTGTTTTCTTGGAGTAATTTTCCTCACATTTTCATTTCCTTGAGTTCAAAACCTTGAAGCCTAGCTGGGCACAGTGGCACATGCCTGTAAATTCAACATTCAAGAGACCGAGGCAAGGAGGATCATGAGTTGGAGGCTGGCCTGGGTTACACAGTGAGAAACTTTCAAAAAATAAAATCAGTTGAGGCCTTCTGGCACTTAATACAGCTCTAAAAATGCCTTAATGCTGTGCATGGTGGCACACGCCTTTAATCCCAGCTCTCAGGAGGTAGAGGCAGGCAGATCTCTGTGAGTTCAAGGCCAGACTGGTCTATATAGCAAGTTCCAGGCCAGCTGCAGCTACAGGGGGAGAAAAAAACCAAAAAGAAAAAAAAAAAAAAAAAAAAAAGCCTTTATCTGGTTTTCCCCATGAGGAAATCTATCTAGTCTGTTAGTTCCAGGCCCTTCTGTTTGTTTAGACTACTGTGATAGAACTCTTCTGTGAGACTTCTGCATGTTTAAAAGGGGGTTTATTCTTCTAAAAAGTGGATATTTAATGAAAGGGAAGGGGACCCACTTTTGGTTGGTAGTTTTTTGGGGGCATAAAATTGTCATTTTGCTGAAGATTTATGTTGTCCCCTCAGCAGGTCTTAGAGCTGATGGTGAGCCGCATATTGCTTCTCAGACTCCCAATCCTTGTCCTGTGACCTACTTAGCTTTTCCTGTGGAAGGTTTTGTTTCTTTATGTCTCGTATTATGAAATTTCATCAAGATGTGTTTGGGTATTTGGGGCCTTTGTTGTCTTTTGGTGCCTTGTCGTGCTGCTTTTCCTGCAGCTAGAACTTCGTTCTTTACCACTCCTTGGAATTTTCTTTCTCCTTCTGGGCATCTCAGATATTGGCAACTCTGATATTAATATTCTTATAATTTCAACTTTTATCTCCTTCCAAACAATTGCTTCATTTTTCAATCTTTTAAAATTAAAATTACTTCAGCTTTCATTTCTAATCTCTAAAGTTCTTTTATATGCCGTCTTGATACAGTATCTTCTAATCTGCCTAAAGTTATTATAGTTGAAAGCTATTTTCTGATTACTTTAATCCTTTTTTTTTTTCCTTCCCTCTTTTGGTCTCTTTCATGATGGGGCCTTTTTTTTTAACTTAAAAAAAACCTTTATTCAGAATTTTATACATGCATATAAGGTGTTTTAATCAAATCCATGCCCACTCCCTCCCCTCCAAGGCCTCTATGGGGCCTTTCTTAAAATACCAGGTAGTCCTTCAATGTTTGGGAAAACAAAACAAAGAACAAAACCATACTGGGCATAGTGGCACAAGCCTACAGTCCCAGCATGCACAGGCTGGAGCAGGAGTTTAAGGCCAGCCTCGGCTACATGAGATCCTGTCTCAAAAAAGCTGTTTAGAATCTCTAGGTACATCAGTCTACCGGCTGGCAGGCTTAGAGGACTGCTGGACTGTTCCACAATAGATTCCCAACTGTCCTTTTGTAGAGAACTTTTTCTGGGTTGATTCAGTTTTTCTAGAAAGGTATCCTATGGTCCCTGCTGGAAAAGGGGGATGGGAGTTTATAAATGTGACAGTGTTCTGGAGTAGGATGAGACTAGAGCAGGACCAGCAGTCTGCATTTTCAGCCATTCCCCACTTCTGCCTTGGCTGTTCTCCAGGCCCTTCTAACTTCTTTTTTTATTCTCCCAACCCTAAGTCACAGGTGATCTACGAGACCCATCATTTCTCTAGCAAGACCTTTCAAACCATGCATACTTCCTTCCCCTCCCCTAGCTCAGCACTGTATGTACCTGGTTCCTGGAAATTTCTTGAATTTGTTTACTGTCTGTCTCCCGGCTTGGAACATTTAGGTGACTTAGCATTTATAAATATAGGTTCTTTATTTCTCCTTTCACTTTTTGCTTTAGTATTGTGAGTCAGGGTAACAGATGTCTATTGGTTTCACCAAAAAATGCTGTTTTATGTTTCTCCATGTTATTTTGGGTGATTTTCAAGGAACAGTAATAAGTGGTCACCAAGAGCAAGAAAGGAGGAATGAATAAACTGAGCACTGGATTTTTAGATAGTGGAACTACTCTGTAGTGGTAGATACTTCATTTGAACAAACGCATACAGGATATACAACCCTAATGTAAACTGTGGGGTTTGGGGCATGGTGATGTGTTAGCGTGGTAGAATTTTGAGTGTGGGAGGCGGTGCTGGTATGGGGGCATGAGGTGTCTATGTGTGGGGAATCTTTCTGCTCAGTTCAACTATGAACCTAAAAATTAAAATGTCTTCCCAGTGAGTTTATAATTTTTAAAAATATTTTTATTTTATGTGTATGCATGTATTGTCTGCATGTAGGTAGTGCACCCATGTTGTGCAATACCCTGGAAGACAGAAGAGACTGTTGGATCCCCTGGACAGTTGTTAGCTGCCATGTGGGTGCTGGGATTTGAACCTGGGTCTCTGCAAGAACAGTGTTCTTAACTGCTGCGCTCTCTCTCCAGCCCCCAAGTTTATAATTTTTTAAAATACAAGGAGAGTACTTGTTATCACATTATATAGTGAAGCATTCCAAACCTCACTAGCAAATTACTGGCAGTAATTTATGTTCCAACTCATGGGTATTGAGAAAGCTGGTTTTGGCTGATGGACTTATCTTTCTACCATAGACTGCATTTTCCTTCTGGGTACCCAGTTGAAGAGGTAGCTACTCAGAGACACTGCTCACTGTGTCAGCCTAATAGAAGGTATACTGCTTTCCCATTATGCCATCCCATTGGCCCCAAAGCAAGTCTTGAGGCCAAGGCCACATTCAAGGGGTGGAGTTCAGACATGATGAGGGTACAAATATGTCATTCTATTATTAAAGACTTGAAAGCAGTAATCTAGTCTGCTTTAGTGGCTAAAAATGACAGTTCAAGAAAACAGCTTCATGAATATACTTTTGTAAGTCATACAAATATTTGTTAAATTTTACTTTGATACAGAAAATTAAAGGTTCAACTGGTAAGCATGAAAAATTATATCCTCTAAAGACAGGAATAATAAATGTGTCCATTTTAATTCTAATGATACAGAAAACCTCTACATTAAGTATGTTGAGGCTGGAGCGATGGCTCAGTGGTTGAGTGTTTGTTGCTCTTCCAAGGGACCCAAGTTCAGTTCCCAGCACCCACCTCAGGCAGGTCACTAACCACTCATAACTCCAGCTCTGGAGGGGTTCAATGCCTTCTTCTGGCCTCCATGGGCACCTGCATACACAGACACATACACATACATTAATAAAAGAAAGCATCTTACCAAAAGGGATAAAATAGGGGCAGATCTGGTTGAAATTAACCATAAACATGGATTCTGTGAAGGTTAACAATGTATACTTTCTAAAGTATACTGAGAACAAAATTCATTTGGAGTTTTGTAACCTTTAAAAATGTTTATGATTTAAAAAAGTTAATCACTAAATACTATTTTTAAAATTAAAACTTGTTTTTTAAAGTTCACTGAAAACTGAAGCTAATTTGGAAGTTCTGAAGTCAATACCTAGTGAAAAATTAATGATTGAGACAGGTAAGTAGATGTTTTAAGAAATTCAAGTTTCATATTAAACACTACTCCCTCCCCCACAAAAAACTAGAGATTTGATGTCTTAGTTTACTGTTGTTATTTTTTGATGGCATGTTCAACCACAAAAATATGTTGCTTTCAGAAGACTTGGAGTTTGCTATTGGTGAAGTAGTTATACAGTCTATTTTTTTTTTTTTAAGTTTGGCTAAGCC